CTATTAATGCAGTTTTGAAGTAGCTCCGACAAGCTTTGAGACGAGCAACTTTTCGAGAATATTATGCATACTGAAAACTTTCGGTCAGAAATGACCATGCCATTCATCATGCCTCACCAAAACATTGGCAGTGCGATTCATTCACTAAATTTGTAAGCTTTCGTCGAAAGATGCTACACTTTTTAACGAATCCCTTTGAATTCCCTAAGGATTGAGTTCATTTATAAATGCACTGAGCTTCCTGCTCAACTTCTCATAAATTGTCTTTGTTCAGTCTAGAGTAAGCAGTCAAAAGTACAATAAATTATCTGTATTCCCAGATGATGTAGTAATTATTTTAGGCTTCTTCAAGTGATCCGGTTATCCACCTTAAATACAGATCGTTTCTGAAACCAGTAACTGACCAGTAATTTTAAGGGTGTTGTAAATTTGGCTGATATAGAAAATAGCCGGACTGAGCATGAAAGCCTGAGTAGGGGTTGCAGCTTAGGCTTGGGATCAGCCTTCGGTTCAGGTTTGCGCGATGCCTGATATTATATCATCCTGGATCCCCCTCATGAGATCAAACATATCTGAAGCAAAAGCAGATCGAACGTCATGAACCTAAGGCCCTAATATCAACGGTCAAAATGAACCTGACGTTGATCACGAGACTTGACGTTAAACAGATCAAGAACTGACATGTGCTGAGATCTAATGCCATGTTGATGTTTCCCTCATTCGTGCAATCAAAATTCTGTCACCAAGCAGTTCGTTTCTGAAATACTGCCCGATTACGCATCGTTACAAGTAAGATGCATTGAAGATAAAGAGGAATTTGCTGCTGCGGCCGATTCCGTTGAATAGTATTGTTGCCGAAAGAACCAGTGATTCTTAGAGATCGTCGAGCTGCTTGAGAAAGATGAGACCTAAAGCGAGAAAAGTGCAAAAAAGCGAGTGATGAAATGACTGCTTACGAGAAATAAGCTTGCTCAAATAGGATATGGAAGAAGCAAGTGCATAGGAAAGGCAAATAACTACACATTAACGTTGATATAATGTCCGCCTGACTGACTGACTGACTGCTGAATGGAAATCAATCCACGAATAAAGCTCAAATAGAGCGGATGTTGAATTTCCGATACTTATGTTGTGGTGCATTTTCTCAGATGTCAGTCACATCTTCGGCTGTAAATCGATGACGAGCGCACACGGTGCTTGATTGTCGTAGTGGTATGTATGGCGTCGATACATAACTATGTTTATTCTTCTCACATTTATCTCAGTTCGAGCGCATCATTATCCGTGTTCACTGTTTGCTCATCCATGTCGTATTTTTCACGCACTTTTGTTCTTTGCAAAAAGACAAGTTAATCATTTGCAAAAAAAGACAAGTCAAATTATAATTGAGGGAATCGTTTGCACGATTCCCTCAATTATACTTTACTTCCTTCGAGCGATTTTCATTGCGACAACATGTGTGAGCTTATAATCACTTCATTATTCCAATCGTTCAAAAGACTATTTTCAGAATGCTTAACGTTCTCTTCCTGCTCGGGATTCATTTGTTCGTTTGTACGAATGCTGAAAGGTTTGTGATCATTTCAAGCTGCATCACTACGTTGCTTTCGCAATTACCCAATTCGACCAGTTATGAATTCGCTAAAATTTCCCTAATTGGGACATTAAAAAACAAAATAAATTAGCAAGTCGTTTTCTCGAAATGGAGCATATGAGATGTAGTTGCTAAAGAAGACAGATGTAGTTGCTAAAACAGAGTCGCTTCTTAAACGGCAACGGAGACAACATTTGAATGGGTGTGGTGCTTTTAATGTGATGATGCATTTTGAGATGCATCAACTTCGAAAGGCTCTTGTACAAATTCAATGAGAATCAGTCGTTAACATTCTCCTGAAGATGCATATCATAGATTTATAATCACTGAAAATATACCGGAATGAAACAACTGATAAAGATACAATTTATCGACATCTTGCT